CATATTCAATTTAATTTAGTTCACATCAACAATGCAGAGTTTTCCTTTCCTGCCAGAAAGAGGAAGTGGAAATGAGTAGGCTTTGAGGATGACCTAAATGGTGTAAGTTAGAGTTTTCACAGAGCATGGAAGAGTTGGGGGTGGGGGGGCGGGGAGCAGGGAAGGTGAAGAGAAGTGGCCTTTGCCCTCAAAGAGCTCACACTATAGTTGGAAAGACAGACACATACTCAACTAATATGCACAATGATAGTGGTGGAGGTGTCATCTGGCCCCAGAATTATAGAAGTATTTGTTCTGAGTGGGAAAAGCTAAAAGACTGTGGAAGATGTGGCAGCTGCCCCTTGAAGGATGTTAAGACAGCGGGCATTTGCGGTAGAGAAAATGGCTGGGCGAAGGCTCAGGGTGCTCAGCTGCAGGGCACCCCCGTGGAAGGGCGAGGAGCTGCTGCCCAGGATGGGAGGTGGGATGGGGGAGCAGGGGCAGGTGGCTGTTTTGAGTGGGTGTGATAGTCTCATCACTTATATAGAAGGTAATTGTTCATATTTTCATGTTGAATTACAGGCAGGTGATTTTCAAAAGCCTAATTCTTCTAAACAAATGTGGTCTTGCCTCAGACTGAAGAGCTACCTGTCTCATAGACAATGGTTCATTACCATGAAAAATAAGAGAGTGATTAATTGCAAAAATGTTGTTATATTTAACTTTCTAGGGATGGATTTGTTAAAGAATAGCACAAGAGATGTTTAATAGCTTTATATCCTATTTTGTAACCAGCCTATTTTGTAACTCTGTATATTATTAGGGATAAAGCCTACAAAGATGTGTGCTGTCGCTGAAGACACTGAGTCTGCAGGCTCTTACATGGGGTCAAGAGGAGGAATAAAGGGAAAAAATAAAGAGAGAATTTCTAACAAGGGTCAGGTCCAGGAATAACTTTCTGGACTGTGGAGATTAATGCCGGTGCCTGCCTGTTTGTGTATCTGGACAGAATCAGGTATAAACTTCTTTCTTTTGGGTGTCCATGGAGTGAGAACCCTGTGGTAGTCAGTGATAAGTCAAGGACATAATCTCTGACTTAATTGTGTTTATGTGATTTTATGTTATCTGGACAAGAAGCTAAGTGGAATTCAGTCCTTTATTGAGATACTTGGTTGAGCCAAGCATTTGTCCACATCTCCATCTTCAGTATGAATTTTCCAGTGAGGAACTGAAACATAGGAAACGCATGGGTAGAATCTATTGAATTCCGGAAATTCTAGTTCATTTGTAAGTCACTAGTAGATAACAATATACACACATATTAAATGTTTTATAAATATATGGTGAGATATTAATAAAATGCTTTAGAACTATTACAAAGTAATTATTATCTACTTCTAGTTTTCATTTTGTTTGTTCAACATTGCTCTTGAAGATGGACACCACCGTAATCTGATTTTGAGACACAAACTATGGAATATTAACTGGGGAAATGTCTCATCTTACTCTTAAAAATACTAGCTCTGGTCCCAAGCGGGGACTTTTTTGAAGAAGCATTATTTTGTTTCTTACCCTATATCTTACATGTATTATGAGTGGAGAGAAAACCAGTAATATTGAGTATTTTATCCATTTCTGCCCCCTAACTCTCCTCTATAAAGATACAATGTTTCAATGGTAAAATTTCGCCTTTATGGGCAAATAGCAAATAATGTAGCTGTGTTACCAACAGAAAAAAATAAAAACACATATGAAACTGTCCATAACACATGGTATCTGGCTAGCAATAAGTTATGATAAATTATGGTACATCACTAACTAGCCTATTATACAATTATTAAATGATAATTAGCTGCATAGAAACATGAAAACATACTTAGAATATAATTAAAGGATTAAAAACACATGATTATAATATGTAAGGTACATATGCATTTGGAGGAGGTTAGGATAGCAGAACTGTGGATTTAAAAATTATTTTCTTCAGTGTTATAAAAGAATAGTAACAGTGAATTCACCAAATAAATGATGCTGCAGGTTGGATATTATCAAAAGGGAAAAACATTTAACAGAACAAATCTTTCTTCCCACATTTGCCAGCACAGTGGATACTAAGATCCACAGTACTGAAAACATTTTCGAAGGAGCTGGTTAGTAGGTTTGGCAGGGAGCCTGAACTTAACTGTATCTGAATTTTGTTGACCATGATCATAGCAATAGAAACTAAGTCTTGAAACAGTTGTCTAAATATACTCCAGCCTGGGTATCATGGCTGAATTCACACTTTGGAATCAAGAAACAGTTTAGAAAAAAAAAACAACAACAACCCAGAAACCATGTACATAATAAACAGGAATATTGAGCAAGAGAGAAATTTTCAAAACTAAAATGCCTATTTAAAATCAAGTTTAAATGACTATTTGGATTAACAGCAAATAAAAAATAACTAATGCCCACTTAAATGTCTGTCTGTCTGAAAGCTCTTAAATGATACCAGAAGCAATCCTCATTCATGTCTATTATGTTCATATTAACAATTAGCGAGAACTGTTGATTGGAGTGAGCTGCTCTGTTCTCTAAAAGGCTCAGATACCCTGTTTCCTTGTTTTCCTTCTCTTCCACCACTGTTCAAAAAATGATCTTTTACCCTGAGTGGTACTTAACAAATGTTCATTTGGGGCATGAGGCTAGCTTGCTCCACATTACGAGGGGGTTGCTTAATGTAAGATGTTAAGAAAAATTCACACACAAAATCACACATTTTATTCTTTCTGGTCAAAGTTAAGTCTCCCAGCTCAACATTTGCAAACTCTTATTTTAGCACTGCAGAGAATTCCTTCAAATGCGTTTTTAGATACCTTTAAGTATCTTAAGTAGATGGATGGAAGAAGAAACCTGAAGTAACTTTCTTTTGAAATAGAACTTGAAAATGTGACAAAATACCTTATATCTCTAAACTAGTAGTTGACTTTGGATTTGGAAATTGGAGTGTGTGTGTGTGTGTGTGTGTGTGTGTGTGTGTGTTATGAAGGAGTTTGTGTTCATTCCAAGAAATCAGCAAGTAACTTTTCCAAATCCCAAACCATACCTGACAGTTCAAGCATCTCCTTTCAGACTCTGTAAGATTTGCTCAGTCTCTAAATATTTCTCTTTGATGCCTTGCTATCTCCTCACCTCTAAAGCTGTCCACAGTGTCAAACAAACTAGAGGAAGTTTTTGTTCCTAAAAGTTATCTAATAATTTATATCTTCATAGAAATATGATTTTCCTCTTTCAAAATGCATTAGCATTATTAAGGGGTATTGTGATTTTTAGAAACTATTCTCCTTCCATGCCAAATCCAAAGTACATTACATTTAGTGTAAGGGGATGTATTAGCTTATTTGGGGCTCCAATATTTAAATTTTCTCCTGAAAAATATCTTACTCTGAATATCTTCATTTTATTCCCAGAAATGTATTTTGCAGAATAAAAAAATATTTGGTAATAAAAAAAATTTGCTTTCACACATCTACAAAATCCTTTTTAGCAGTTGCAAGAATTCAATCCATGTCACATAACTGTTATCATGAATTGCCTAACTTTAGGCTGCATTTTGCTGTAATTTAGTCCCTGGCAATATATCCGTGCCTTTGACATAACACCATAGCATATTCAAATGGAGTGGATGAAGAGACAATCCAGTGCAAGGCAGTCCCTCCCTTTCCAGAGAACTGAGGTATGAGAAGATAAAATTTGCCCAGGGTCACCAATCTCATCTTCTAACATTTAACCCCTACTAAAAAAACAATTATATACTTTTGATATTGTATTTGATTAGAAAATTGTGATTTTTAAGGACATGATTCTTAAGAATAATTGCTATATTTAGAGAATTGCAGAGTTGAACCTGAAATATACAAAAGAGGTATACCCCACATTGTTGTCCTCAATTCCCCTTTTGGGAAAAAAATGGCCGAAACTATCTGATCATTAAAAATAAATCATCATTTTTTGAAGGGTGCAAAATTATTCTGATCTTCAAGACAAAATATACCATCACTTTTATATATAATTCAATATTTCTCTTCAACAGAGATTAGATAGTATTCTGGCTGATTGACCTCTTGTCTATTACAGTTGAGCCAGTGAAATACATTTTAGGGCCCCATTGTAATTTTTTTTCCTCAGCAGCAAAAAATTAAACATGAAATAAAGCAGACCTTTACCATGTAATGTTCACTGATCAAATGAACTTAATAAAAACTGGGCTTTATTTAAACCTAGAGTATTAACTCTCATTTTGTTGGCATTTACAGTCTTTGGGAGTGCTGAGCAAATGTACAAATAATGACATTTCTGACATTTCCAGAAATTTAATCACTGCATTTCATATAAATTCTGCATAAAATTGAAGACTAAGTTATTGACTTCATAGTCTTCAGATTTAAAAAGGCATATAGGAATAGTAATTACCAGTATATGTCTCCCCGAAATGTTGAAGACACTTGTATACATATCTAAAATTCATTATGACTGGATGAAAACAATTTCTAATCTATGAAAATATTACATTAAGTCATTTTGCACCTGATGAAGAAATAATACATGAATGATAGTAAATGTTAGAAAACACTTCAGATAAAGACCCAGTAAATCACTTTAAGTGAAAAGTGTAGTAAGTAACATAGCCATCTAAAAATGTTAGTTTTTCACATAGCTGGTCACATTTATTTTACTTTATTTAAAATTCCTGATCTTGTCAGAGGATAATATCATAAAACTCAATTACATAATTCAACTGTCTTTAACGCCCCCCTTTTCCAGAGACTATCCTACCAAAAGAGGGATGTAGCTATTCTATCCTGATTTTTTTCTTTCAGCAAATACTACATGTGAAAAGCTTTCAATAGATAAAAATCATTTCTTATAATGAAGCATTAAATTGTTGTTTTCTTTTCTTTTCCAGATCGAAAGCAGCTCAGGGTCCCTATGTACAGCTCAAGTATCATTTCATGCCTGGTCACTCAAGATTTACCTTGCTTTCAGCAGGTACTGAGCAGCACTTGGATTATTTACAAAACATCCAACATGGTTTAAATAGTTAAAAAAAACAGTTGGAACTGCTTCCTCTTCTATCCACTGCCTCTTCCAGTGTCCTTAACATCCATCACCCTTCCCTAAAATATGTCCCCAACATGCCTATTTACATGGCTCTCAGGCACCAGAGGTTTGCACACCCATCACATACCAGGTCAGTTTCTAACAATGTGTAGATGGAGCAGGGCAGTTTCCTTCCACCTGGAGCTGAGGGTAGTCATGTTTCTATCAACACAGCGGCCCTTGTATGCAAAGCTTAGACTATGGTCTCATGGTCCCACCTGCCTTGGCTCTGATTGATGTAACAACAGTATCTGTCATAGGGACTGTTCTGCCTGTAGGAGCAAACGATGATACTGTCCTGGGGCACAAAGAAGATGCTGTCCTCGGGCTCAGGGCATTCTGACCTGTCCCAGGCTGAGCACTTGGCATCCAAGGCACTGTAGGCGAGAGAACTGCCTGAGGGACAGTAGCCGTCCAGGTATCTGGATGTCTCCTCGTGCTGCCCGCTCGGGACAAGGCTCTGGCATTCTCCTTCTTCCGTGGGGGTGGGGGTTGTGATGGAGCTGGCCACAGGCATCTCAGCCTGCCCCTGGCGGGGCGGCTTCCCCCTGAGGCCTGCCTTCTTAGCCAGCTCATCTGAGCTTCCCTTGCCTGACTCCAGGTCCGAAGGGGTCCTCAGCAGTTCCACCACCTCCTTGTCTTTGGGTTTCCGGAAGCAGGGCAACTTTCGGACCCATAGCAGCTCATTTTCTGGCCATTTGGTGCACCCCTCAGTTTTCCTGGCCAGGGCAATAGCTGCGATGCCTGGTAGGCAGATGGCTGGCCCGATGGCCAGGAGGGGTATGTTTCCCAGCGTCTCTCCTTTCATCCCAGAGACAGTGAACATGAAGCCAAAGACCAGGAAGACACTGACCAGGGCCACCACCAGCCCAGTCCTCGGGTTAATGTCATCAGGACGCATCTTTCAATCCATCCAGGTCGGGGGCTTCTTGCTGGCCAGGGAGCAGCTTTCCTGTCTTCTGTCTGAGAGGAAACCACAGTGGGTTAAAAAAAATCCAAGGCAATGTCCCACGCACCAACTCTTGTTCCCCTTACTCTTTGTCTCTACTTTTCTGACGATCTTGGTCTCTGTCTCTCTGTCTCTCGCCCTGTTTCTGTTGCTCTTTGACTGTCTGTCTGTGTCTCTTTACTGTTTTAACCTCAGTCTTGCATATAAACGTCCACCGGCGGGGTCACTGAGGTACCTGAGGTTTCCTCCGGTCTCCTGGGAGCAGGGAAAGAAGTCAGTCTTAGTCTCCTTAGAAACCTCCAAAGCAGCTGTCCCCTCGACTCTCTCCCTTGTTTCTGGAAGAAAAGCCTGGCTTTTCTGCTCTGCATCCAGGAGGTGGGACGTGGGGCGAGTCTTTCCCAACAGCGCCCGTCGCGGTCCCCAGGCTGTGGCAGCGGAGCGGCGGCGCAGCCCAGCGCGGGCTCTGCGCACGGATCGCCGGATCTCCCGGCGCTGGAGCGAGGAAGGACTTAGTCTGGGAAAGAGGGAAAACGGCGCTCGAGCCGGTCCTCCTCACATCACTTTCAGAGCAAGCTCAGAAATACAGAAGGGCGCGTGGGGGCGCGAGGGGGCAGACCCCAGAAGACGCCATCCGGGCAGAAGAGGCTGCCTAGGGTCCAGTCCGGGTGGTCGGAGCAGCCGGGGTTCGTTCCACCGCTGCCCTGGAGGGCTGAGCAGGGAGGCTGGACCCGCTTCTGTGCCCGGGGAGGGTCCGGGGTGCAAGGCTGCCGCCGGACGGGGGACCGAAACTCAGGTCGATTTGCTCACGGGGCAGCTGGGGCTCCGAGTCTGGGGTCCAAGGGCCAGAGGTGCCAGCTGGAGATGTCTCTCGGGGACCTGGACCCCTCTTTAGTTACAAATCAGGTTGATCCGACCCGCTCGTAGGAGTTTCCCAACAGCTCGTCTCTCAACCTGGAGCCTCCCGGAGCTCGTAGGGCAGCGCACCTCCAGGCGCCGCGCCGCCCTCGGACTGCTCGGTGCCTGGCGCTGGCGGAGAGCTGCGCAACGGCACTCCCGGGGCGCACAGACCAGCGCTCCGGCGTTAGTGGTGAGGGCTGGGGGCCAGGTTTTGCTCAGCCTTGGGTGGAGTCACCACAGCTTCCTCCCCACGCCTTCCAGCTTCGGACTCTGGAGAGGGTGTTTGGAGGCCGGATCCTACTCCAAAGCAGTCATGGTGCCAACCAGACCTCTCCGCCCTCGGATCCTCATCCTTACACTTCACACCCAAGACCCTCCTCACAGGAGAAGGAGGAGCCTCCACTGGGCAGGACAGGCTGACCAGCCCAGGATGCGGTTCAAGCTTTGGGTGATTCCTCCCTTGCTGAAGCTGGTGTGGAGATTTAGTCTCCCTCCCACTGCAGTGGGTGATAGATTCTCTGGCTGCCCATTTAGGGTAGACAAGGAAGACTGAAGAAGAGAAGCGGGTAGGGTGTACATTCTTTCATGTCAAGGCACTGCCTTGGTGGAAAGAACTTTGACATTCAGGCCTTCCCCACTTAAACCAGCTGTGTGTGCTTGGGGAAATGACTTAATCCCCGAGAACCAGTGGACTCATCTGTAAAATGAGAATATTACTACCAAATATGTGAGGGAACAGTATGAGTACTAAATAAATGTAAAGTTCTTAGCACAATGCTTGTTACATGATCCTGTTCATACAGTGGTTGAAATAGGTATTTGCATAGTATGTCATGATCAATGTAAGGCACAAGCCAAATCATAAATTTTGCCAATGTCCAGATTCTCATTAAGGACAGTAGTATTTTCTGCCCTTCAAATTGATAAGATTTCCCAGTATCCTTTCAATAATGCTCCTCGTATGAAATTAGCATGAGTGGTGTTTTTACTCTTTGAAATCCAAAGAATTTTGGGTAGGATAGGCATTTCTCTGAAAGTGATGCCTCCAAATTAGGCTGCAATTGATTTAAGCGGTTTAAAAATATATGTTTTTATTGATTTTTTAAGAGAGAGAGAGAGAAACATCTATGTGAAAAACATCCATTGGCCGCCTCCTGCCTGCACACCTCCTACTGGGGATTGAGCCTGCAACCTGGGCATGTGCCCTGACCGGGAATCGAACTGGCGACCTCTTAGTGCATGGAACAACGTCCAACCACTGAGCCACACTGGCCGGGCTTTACATTAATTTTTACTTAAGTATCATATAAATAGAGAAATAAGCACAAATTATGAGTATACATTTGAATGGATTTTCACACAAAAAACTTCCTTTTAACCAGCACCCACATCAGGAATGAGAACATTTTAGCAACAGCCCCCCCTTGTTCACCTCATGTCTCTCCTCCCTCTACCCCCCAAAAGGAACAATCATCTTGACTTCTACAGCATGGATTACTTCTGCTTGTGATTTGACTATATAAATGAAGAGCCGGAAAAAGGGTAATACAAATGAGGCACTAACCTCAGGTGTAAAGTTCAAGGGTTGCAAACAAACAAACAAAACAACAAACAAAAAACACCCCTCAATAATTAAATAGTATGTTTAAAACTCAAAATTAATTTTAAAATTATGAACAAAATATTTAAAATTTAAATAAAGACAGGATAAGTGAATTAGATTTATCAGAGAATTAGAACCAACAGGCAGAGAGAGAGAGAGAGAGAGAGAGAGAGAGAATGAATTGGGAATTATTCTTATTTTAGGGAATTGACTCACATGGTTGTGAAGGTATGGCAAGTCCAAAATCTGCATGGTAGGCTGACAGGCTAGAGATCCAAGGAAGAGATGCAGTTTAAGTCCAAAGGTGATATGCTGGCAGATTTTCTCTTTTGGGGCGGGAGGTCTTTTTCTGTTAAGGCTTTCAACTGAATTGTTGAGGCCCACCCACATCACGAAGGGTAATCTGCTTAACTCAACATCTACAGAATTAAATGTTGATCTCATCTAAAAAATACCCCCACTGCAAAATTTAGATGTGTATGATCAAATATCTGGGTACTGTACCTAGTCAAATTGACACATAAATTAATCATCACAGCCCTGGCTGGTTTGGCTCAGCAGTTGGAGCGTTGGCCTCCGGATCAGAGAGTCCTGGGTTCAGTTCCCGCTAGGGGCACGTACCAAAAATAAACAAATAAACAAACAAACAAATAAATAAACAAATCATCACAGAAACCTTTCAGGTTCAGGAAGCAAATGAGATGAAGCCCAATAATACCATAAGGAAGATGGATTCCTTAAGGAGTTTCCAAAAAACAAAAACAAAAACAAAAAATAATAATAATACATATGCATAATGCTGTTTGTTTCCTTTCTCTTCCTTCTCTTTCTCTTTCTTTTTCCCAATCTCCTCCTCTTCCTTTTCCTTCTGCTTTTCTGTATCTATATCTGTTTTGGTGCACCATTGAGAAGTAAGTCACTTATGCCATGTAAATTCCTCTTAAAAAAACATGTGGGCACTTTGCTTGCATTGCACAAACTCATTTTTGTTCTGACACTAACTGGAGTGTGGACTTTCTGAGAACATTTGAGACCTAAATCCTGCTCTCAGCTCAGAATCTTTTTGTGTCTCTTAGGTTATCCTTTGCCTTGGACATTGCACAAGGAATGGCCTATCTCCATCAGCACAAGATCTACCACAGGAGGCTGAAATCTACTAATTGTGTAATTGACAGTCTCTGGGTTTGCATAATTTCAGGTAAAGGGAAGAGCATAATATTGGTATACATATTTTCTTAGCTACAGAATGTATCTCATTTAAGAATGACTTTTTAGCCATAGTCTGTTCAATTGTCACAGTTACTGAAAGTCTGCTGATTTAAATGTTAATCTCATCTAAAAAATACCTTCACAGAAACATCTAGAATAATGTTTGACCAGCTATTTGGATATTGTGGCCTAGTCAAGTTGACATGTAGAATTAACCATCACAATCAATTTTACTGATTTTCCCTTTTGTCTTATGAGTCTGTATGGCTTGGCACAGCATTGCTTACCATAAGTACTCTTTGGTTTGCCATTTTTGGCTCAGTGTTATGCTTGTGAGATTCATGCAGATTGTGGCATGTAACAATAGTTTCTTCATTCTCATTGTATTAATTATAACAGAATACTTACTCATTCTACTGTTGATGGTTTTATGGTTTGTTTCCAATTTTGGACTATTGTGAATAGTGTTGTTTTTTACATTCCTGTTGTATATACTGTATGTCTAGGAGAGGAATTGTTGGGCTATAACTATGCATCTCTTCAGCTTTAGTCACTTCCCCAAAACAGTTATTCAATTTATATTCTCAACTGTTGTGTATGGACATTTCAGTTATTCCACATCATTGCCGACACTTAGTATTATCAATCTTTTAAGTTTTATCCAGTTAGGTTACCAGTTAAGCTTTGTGTAAGCTGTGGAGGAAACCTGGTTGGGATCCTTGATATTATTGAAAGATAGTGGTTGTTTTCTTCTGTGCAGGCATCTGCTGAGCCCGATTGCTGCTGAGTCTTTGGTTATAATTAACCTCATTCCTCTGAAAGCTATTTTTTCGATTTCTATGTTCCTAATCTTGTCCCAATATACTGTGGTCATTAATTTAGAGCTTATTTATTAACCTCCTACTATGTCCCATGGAGCCACTATCAGAAACAAATCAAGACAGTGGTTTCCAAATATTTTCATTGTCCTCCCCATACTAATATAGCATGTATTTTAAAAATACATGAAATAGAAAATAAAAAGATATGATAAGGATAAAACAGACAATGTTTTAAAATGTCTTGCTAACTGTCATGGCTTCATACTATGATAACACAAAGGCATAATATATGTTTCAGCACTTACCATAGTAGCTGTAAATCCATTTTTCTGAATGGTGCTGACCTTTTGACAAATCTGATTAATACATCATTGCTTTTACCTCCTAATGTGGCCGACAAAGAGCTGTACCAGGAGTAGAAGCATCAGCTCTGTCATCATCTTATTCACTTGGCCTTGCATCATTAGTATTATTTTCAATATGTGGATTTTAGGTTTTTCTTGTGTTTTTTTTGCAGGAATCCCTTTTAGCCTCTTGTCCATTTTAGCCTCTTGTCCATTGAGGTTAGTTTGATTAAAATGATATAATAGAACACATAT